TGAACATCGCTACACTCCGCAAGAACCCCTTCTTGGAAGGGATGTTGCTGAGTGAGGAATGACGCCAGCTCTCAAGTTGTGGCTCATTCGATGAGATCTGGCGGCACACATTCCAATTCGACGAGGCCGAAATTCTCGCAAGAGGTGACCACCGCGTGAGCCGGGAGGCTGCTTGGGTCATGGTTTACTTGCCCAAAGTCCATTAACAAGTGCAATGACCTTCCCCTTCCATACTCGGTGCTGAGACTTCGCCTAGGCGGAGTAATTAGCCACACGGGAAGCGCACAGGTGAACACTTTTCCCAGCACCAGGGACGGTGAGTCAGATGGTCGAGCAATCATCACACCAACATCCAACGCACGTGATGAAATTGCAGCAATTAACGACGCGAATGTCGGCCATCACACCACTTGCAACGATCCCTGGTAAAGAGGGGATTCGTGAATGTTAATAGGTATGCAGTAGCCTGGCGACTGCATCCTATAAATACTGCAGCCCTTTGTGCATGAACAACCCGTATCTACTTTTTTCTACGATGATGGGTTCGAGCAGGAATCCGAAACGTCAGGCTAATAAAGCTCTTGTCCCAGCGATCGTGTCTCCTTCTTCATGAGTGAGGTGTATTTAGATCAAACTTTCATGTGGAGTGGTCTTTAAGTAGAAGGGCGTCACGATGCTCTAACTGCCTTTTTGCCAGAAGCAAACTCTGCGGGAATTCGCTTTCTTTCTTTCTTTTTTTCTTTTTTTTTCTCTCTCTCGCGGGTATCTCATCTGAGTGAGACTGACATTCTGCGGGGTGAAATTGTCAAAAATGACCGCGCCGACGCCAATGCTGTGACGGGCAACAACAATGCGAAAGGGATATCCTAAAAATGCCAAGAAGGCTTCACTGAAACTAGACATGGCTGTACTAGACGCCAGTGGGAGCTCTACATTAAAACTGACATCATCCCGATCCAGTTTCCTATACCGGGTAAGTAAGCTGTCAAGCATATCTGACAGACACCGCTGGACACCATCTCCCCCAGCTGCCACTGGATCAACGAACATTCACGTCGAAGCCACCAAGACGGAACGCAATGACGGATCCTCCAGAAAAACCAACTACACAGTACCCGCATGAACAACGGCAGAGTCCAGAATAAAGCTATACTCTGTCAGTGCCGTCATCAGCCGTAAAAGGCGCTGAAGTCTGTAGAGAACAACTGACCGACTCGCACGTTCTGTAGAATTCAAGGCTGGAGGAAAGAAAGAACCACATCGCCACATTCAAGACATCCCTTGATCGCCAACTCACTGGAGATATGCCCCCGCTCTAATCAGAAGAAACAAGCCTACTGGTTGAAAAATCACAGATTCTCGAACATTGGGCTGAGTAGTGCAGGCGCGTCGTAAAAATTAAAGACCGGCTGAAGCCCGAAGAACAATCTGGAGTAGTGTATCGCATTCCGTGTCAAAATCGCCCTTGTACCTAAACAGGGCAGACTGGGCGCATGCTCGGATCGCGCATACACGAACATAAACTGGCTGTGCGACGAGGCGACGCATTATCACAAGTGGCCGTCCACACCTACGAAATGGGTCACGAGTTGAACTTCGCAGCCACCAAAATAGTCGCCCACGCCGGAAACAAAGCAGGGCGAGAATTGATTGAAGCCTGGGCCTCAGGTGATAACTCGGTCAACCGATTTATCGATCTGGCGCCGGTGTACAGAGCCCTGCGTAGTCACCTCCAGTCTTGCGCCGTCGGTCGATGATTGGCCTACATGCCCCACAACTGTCGCTTGTTCTGTTGCCGCTACTACCTTTGACGATGGACTCCTGCACGAGTCTGGAAGCTCGGGACAATAAACGAAGTGCTCCGGTGCTCGGCTCTTCTTCACAAGCCTACTGGTTGAAAAATCACAGATCCCCGAACACTGCGTTGTGTAGTACAGACGCGTCTTCAACTGTCCGTCTACGAGTGAAGACGAGGGCTGACCTACACCCTCCCCTTGCGCAGACAGGAAACAGATGTCCGACGAAAAGTCTCTGGATGCGAACTCCATTGCAGCCGAGATTTACAAATGCCGTAGTCGTCAAATCAGGAACGAGTCTACAGCGATGTTCTGGCTGATGTGACGACAAGGCCAAATCTCGCAAAGTCTGGATATTCGGCCAAAATTAAGCGAGAAAGTTGAAGCACACGCAGCTAACCTGCCTTTGTATCAAGCGAATACTTTGAGAAATTATTCGCTCGATTCCTATCTGGAGTTAATGCACCAGAAACCGCATAGAGAACGCTAGGGGACCCACTGAAGAGCCGAACCCCTCGCAGCTGTGTCACGCAGCGGCAGAATGTCGGTGAAACACGTGTCTGGGCTTTTAGTTAGTACCTATGTCGGAAGTATGGTAATAATGCGTCTGTCTTTGTATTATATGAAATGTTGCAAAGAAGGTGAACGCGCGATCACTGGGACAGTGAAGTTGCGGCAACTGATTCCGACCATCTTAAATCTGGAGTTGACTAACACCCTCCCCCGCACCTTCGCCATTGTAAAGCACATCTGACGAGTGTGAGATGGCCATATAGTGAGGATTATGCTATTACTGACGAAAACAAGGGAGACAGGAATGGCCATTTCTGGCTTATTCGCCGTCGTAAGCCAGCCATAACCAAGCCCGAAGTGTGGAACACCCGAGCCTCGAACCCGCGACCTGTTAGTTAGAAGTCCACGCCTCTAACCACGGGGCCATGAGCCTCGGGTGTTCCACACTTCGGGCTTGGGTATGACTGGCTGACGACGGCTAATTAGCCATAAACGGCCATTCCAGTCTCCCTTGTCTTTTTCGGTAATAACATACTGCCTATGCCATGCGCCGCTGTGCGACTGCTGGTTGGACTCGACAGAGAGCCCGTAAAGCACAACGGAAGAAATGAGTTCCGTAAGGACGATCGGTGGGCACCCTTTGCCGTAGTGAGGATTACTGACGAGCGCATGCGAAAACAACCCTCGCAATTAAAGTCACTATAAATACCCACAGACGACGCCTTCAAACCGGTAAAAACTTGAGGACGACCAGCAGACATGGCAGACAGCCGCACCAACTGGCGCAGCTTTCATCGCTCCAGGTGCTGTGATCTCTCTTCCACTCTCTGGATTTAGCTGGGGCGTATTTCAGGTAGGGTGTGGGCCGTAGACCGTCCTGGTGAACAAAAACACCTCCGTCCGCATATTTTTGGAACTTCACCTTCGTAGCCACACGACTGCCATGCCTAGCAGCTATACCTCACTGGAGCACGTCGGCTATGATGGGGGTGGGGGGGGGGGGCGTGGAGAGTAACATCGAGGAGAGGACGAATAAATGCCCACCAAGACGACTAGGGACGTTTTTGTAGGTACCGGTAGACCGGGTGGACAAAAGCGATCCGAGAATTATACCACGAAGACCTCACTCAGGTGTCTCCACATTAACCAGGAAATCTAGTAAACAGTAGTAGATGACCGGTTACCTAGAGTATAACTAGACCGGCCATGTTCAAGACTAACCAAATACACGCACAGGCCCCGTATGTCGCGAGTGGAGGCGCCAACTCCTAGCCCCTCTCAGCCTGTCCGGACTGACCTTTATGGACGGAATTCCATCGACCAGCCCATCGCCTGCCGAAGCAAACAACAGCAGCGTCGTCGATAAGGTCCTCCCTCCAAGCTGTCCTTACTGTAATGTCACCTTTCGCCCCGATTTGTTTCGGTCTGCCAGCGCCTGCGTGGGAGCGACGCAAGCATTCACACAACACTCGCCACTAGCCGTGCCAACATATTCCTGACAGTTCGACCATCGGTTTCGATGATGTCCACCGTGTGCCCCACAGTTGCAGCAGCAGTGGGAGCAGGGGCGGTGACTTGCGCAGGGGGGTTTATAGTGCCAGTAGACTTGCGTAGCATCTACCTACACTCTCTCCTCCTCCCCCGCCTGAGCCCGGTGTCAAGAAGACCGGAGACGGGGGAGGCCGCAGGTGGATGGCTCGGACGGATCCTCACCAACATATTCCTACTGCAACGCTCAGACGCACATCGACTTAACCGGACCCCTACAAATCCATCTCGGCTACACTGAAGAACCAGCACCTTGGACCTCCACCAACACCCCTCAATCTCGCATTCCTGCATGGCCACATGCCAATGCACAAAGGAGATAGCTGTACCAGTGCCCACAAATCCTCACACCGTCCTCATGCGTTTCCGCAAGGGATCTGGGACAAGACAGTCTACCTAATGGCAGACCATAACCAGTGTATTGCTGTGCCGTCAGCAGTTTACGCTGACCTAGCCTTCACAGGGGCATGTCTAACTAGCCGGACGCGGACTGGACTGCCGACGACTGCTGACAGACCCGTCTGTCCGGCCCGAGGTTATACACGGGAGGATTACGACGCCCTACGAGACTTCAGGGCAACGAATCGAGCCGGAGAGCTGTGGGCGATCGTCCCTGCGTCAGACGAGGCTAGCTGGGAGCCTAGCTCCCGCGTGTTCGTTCCATCTTGCCGCTGTCGGCGAACGTCGAGGCATTGGCACTAAGTGAACCCGACTTAAAAGCGCCCGTAACGACGGGGGTCAAACACGTCTTGCGAAGCCGTAACACTATGGAGCGCAGCTGCGAAAGCCTTGATGACTGGGTGGACGCAGACATCAAGCCCCCGCGCCCCCAGGCTCACGCCCCAAACCGAGGAAACCCACGCCAAGTAAAAAAAACTTGCGGGATGTCGGGGAGAGAGCCGCACCACCCAACCGGCCACACCGGCTCGGACACGACCACATGACCCGATCGGCGGGGGCAGACAACACCGCAGACGTCACGATACCGGACCGCACTAACTCCTACCCGCACCCGAGTCACATCTACCCCCACGACAAAAAACGATCCGCAAAACAAGTCTCGTAGTGGCTAACAAAATTTTAATATATACAGATTAGGAAAGATCATATGTACAGAGGGACGGGGCTTGCCGAAGAGATAACCTATTTCTTAGCCGCCTTCTTAGGTGTTTTCTTCACGGATGGCTTCTTCGGCTTCACTGCGGCAACCTTCTTTGGTTTAATCGCCTTCGCGACTTTCTTCGGCTTTGAGGTCTTTTTAGCCACCGGAACCTTCTTCGGCTTGGCTGCCTTCGTAGTCTTTGGCTTGGCTGCCTTCTTGACATGTTTCTTTGCGACTGGTTCTTTTTTGGCTTTCTCTGAGAGTTTGAAAGATCCAGAGGCACCAGCACCCTTCGTTCGGATCAGCTTACCGGCGGCTGTGGCGGAGACAAGAGCGCGACGCAGGTGAACCTCAGCAACCTTCTCGTCAATCTTGTTGTGGGCCTTAATGTGCTTCAGGATCGCCTGACGGCTGGAACCGTTCTTCTCCTTCAAGTCCTTGATCGCATCCACGATCATCTTGGAGAAGGGTGGGTGGGCCGCGGGCACCTTCGGCTTCTTTGGAGCCTTCGCCTTCTTCAGGGTAACCGGAGGAGCAGTATCGGTCATCGCACAGTCGAAATGTGATTTGCTGCCTAGCGCGGCCTCGGGGGTATTTATAATACGCGTGACTAGCTCGCGTCGAAGAGCACTAGGCGCATGCACCGTCGGCACGTTTGCGCGCTAAATAACAATGTAGTCCAACTGACTTGTCTAGTTTAAACAGAAATTAGAAGCTTAAGCGATCAAAATAACGTAATCTTGTAGGAACCGTTGCAAAGAGGACATTTAGGGCTGTTGAATGGTGCCAGGAATGTCATTCTTTCGAGGATGACTTTGTAGCAAACTACAGGTGAGTAGGGAAATCATGGCGATGGAATTTGGAGGGCCTTTACTAAATAAAAAATTTCTCTAGGCATAAAAATATTTTATCTTAAAATAATGCATTTCCGGATTCCTGAGTAAGTACTCTTCACTGTGGACTGCTTTATTTATGTTTAAATTTTTTCACTAAAGCGACGTTGCCGTGAAATTAACCGTCTTCACGTCAGGCGGTTAATAGTCCTTTTGTCTATCATAATATATTACCTCGTGTACCAACGGTCAACATCAACCGACTTCTATCATTTTCGATATCCTCCTTGAAAAAAAGGTAAACTATCTATCCCCTGTTGCTTTCTTGCCTTTGCTGTAGTCCATGATGAGAAATCGATGTGTTATTTTCAATCTTACCAGAGGTGACTGTGATTGGTCGGTGATTGGTTCGGTATGGTCTACTTCGCACTTCTACCTAATTCAATACTTACCCGTTCTGTTTTTTCGAACACTAAGCATGTATGTTTGTACTAATGCATTTTTGGTATTCCACATACTTCGTCCTGCCTCCTGATCAAACATTTTGGTCAGAGACGAAAAAGTTTGGTAATCTTCATTACCAGTCACTTAGTAGACACAGTCGTGGATTGGCAGGTGTTTCCCCGCAGTAATCCGTAGGTTCCATGGGGCTCCGACAACCTAGACGTGTAGGCTTTTTCCTATTACAACGTGAATTGTGTACCATACTACATTGTAACTTTCTACAAGTTGTTTATCTTTATATTGATGATTATTAGGTGAGTGCGCACGCCATCAAAGGAGACAGTCGCGGTATGCACTCCCACGCGTAAATCCTTAACAGAAAGTAAGGGCCGAGTTCGTAGTTTTAAATCAAAGGCCATCTGTTTACTTGCCACATATCGGTCTACCTCCTCTTCTTATCTTCCACTGTCTTTAGTTGTGAATACTAATACTGGTGATGGTGTTGTTTTTTGTTGTTGTTGTTGCTGCTGCTGCTGCTGCTGCTGCTGCTGCTGCTGCTGCTGCTGCTGCTGCTGCTGCTGCTGCTGCTGCTGCTGCTGCTGCTGCTGCTGTCTGCGCTATCTCATTACTGATTTAGCTGGCAGCTTGTAAAGGCCCATCAGTAGGAATATCATTCAAGCGATGTCTCTGCTCCAACACGGCCAGTGGATGGAATCCTAATTCATAAGGCGGTGGCGGGGAAAGTGTTATTTTGTATATGACGTAACATTTGCCATGTTGTTCTACAGCCTTGACTTGTAGCCCCTTTATATGTGACCGATCTACCGCGCCAGAGCCCAGCAATATCTGGTGACCTTATCGCAGTTGGTCTGCAGTCGCTTATGCATCGGATTTGAGAGCCTGTCTATTTGATAGCAGGTCCTCAATGATGGCCGGTTCTTCATTCATCACGCTGCTCCGGGTAGGAAGCAGCTAAGGTACCAGGAGGGCTTGCCCTCTTCTTACAGGGGTAGTGGAATGTACTGTGCTATTTATCGTACCAGGCCATCCATCAGGTTCTCTTGTGGCTTCCTATTGAACTTTGCCGATAATTCCCAGCCCAGCGTTGTTTATTCTGCAAACTTATGCCGAAAAAACTGTATTAGCAATACTCAGCAAACGCGCATCTATGTTTCTAGTGGACATGGTGGAAGAAATTGCGTTTTCAACCGACATCATGCGCCTGGAAAGATTTTGGCTAGATCGCAGTTGATAGCCAGGAATGGGGAAACGGACGGCGACCTTAACCCTAATCCTAGCCTTAACCCTAACTCTAACCTCAACCTTAAACGTTAACCGTTAACCCTAGCGGCAACCCTAACCGAAATCGTTAACGTTACCGTAGTCCTTAGACACAGCCGTAACCAAAAAACCTAACCGTAATACTGAAACCTATTCGTAAGTTCAAACCCTAACCGTAACCAGAAAACCTTGACCAAAAATTTGTCTTGCACTGACGTAGAGAAAGTGCTCTACCCAGCATCATAACTGTCTGACCGACGGATAACCATTATAGGCAGAAGGGCATTACAGATATAGACGGGGCGGGGAAGACTGGAATGGCCACTTCTGTCATGTTGGCCATCATCAGCCGGTCACATCCAGTCCCGAGGTATGCAGTCCTCCGCGGCTCGAGTCCGCGACCTGTTGGTTAGAAGTCCAACACTTCTAACCACTGAGCCACGGGCTCGTCGACCTGTCGCCTGCGATCGGGTATGTTAACAATGGTAGATGCGGGCGCGCACCGATGGCCTTACGGAAATCTCTCGTTCTGTTGAGCCTTGGGGTTGTCTCTCCAGCCTCAATTCGCAATAAAGACCTCCTGTAGCTGGTTTCTTTACCGCCTGAGTACTTGACTTCGCATCGAACATATTCTTCAGATGTTGTTAACATTACGTTCGTCACAAATCCCACCACTAACAAAGTCAATGCCGCTGGTGTGTGCATCGGCAATATACCTGGTGCGAACAGTTGTTTTCATAGTTGCATGTTGACGCAGCTAACTCGTATTAATTATATTTCAACCCCCCCTCCCCCTAGACGGGATTTAACGCAGTCAACATAATCCGTGCACTGGAAAAGGCCAAGAACGATTGAAAGACAGTTCCCGGTCCAGCACATACTTCATGCTGTAAGGTGAATTAGTTTGGCCGAAAGCGAAGTCTGCGATAGCCTGAACAGCTTAAGCAACGACAATTCCTCGATAGATGAGGTGTGAAAGCGACTGGTTGTCTTGTGTAACATTCACTGAAACCAGGCCGAAACTCGTAAAGTGGGTCGGCCTTCCTCTTGGCAGAAACTTCCCTCCTCTACATGAGGTATTTTCAATACATGGATGTTTTGGCAAATTTTGAATAATTCATACTGACCCAACTGTGATTTAATGTGATTAAACTCGCGTCGTCCGGCGGGGCCTCGTAGCTCAAGTGGTTAGAGCCTTGGCTGTACTAAAGCCTTCACCTTACTGCGTGGGTTCGAATCCCACCGAGGCGGCGAGTTTTTCGCAGTTGGGTCAATATGAAGTATTTTTAATATAAAAAACCTGATTCTCTATAACGCCCAGTGGTCTCAGTTCGAGATTACGTCAACTTCGTGGTTTGTGACGCCAGGCCCAACTTAAACCTCATCCTTCCGGTTATTCTTTGGTAACGTGAATTAAAAGTGGTAGCCCTCACTTTTACTACGGACTTAGTCAGATGTGCGTTGTCTACAATGTCGGGATTGCAATGGTTAAAAAAAGCCGCAAGACAGCTCCTTTTGTCAAATACAACGCAGAGACTACAACAACGCCCCTTTAGTTCAAGGCACGAAATGTTATTTAGTTCAGATGTCAGTCCAGCGAACACAGCAGATCCTTAGGGGTGAACCGTTGCGTGCACACGAGACGGAGGAAAAATCAATAAACAGATTTTGAATTTCTTCGTTTCAGCGTCCGGGGTCTTTTAGTGATGTCATCCTCAAAAGTGACATGCGTACTTTTAACGATCCAAATGTAGTTCAAGCATGCTTTATTAACTTGATATTACTGAGGTGTTGCACTTAAAGCTCGCATTCTTTTACCTTTAGCACTCTGAGAGAGCGAAATGCGATGGTTTGCAACAACATTTAGAAGTAAAACCATTTCCCAAGCCCACTGTTCACCTTGAAAGTAAAACCACAGTTATCTGTTATTTAAATTGCTACCAGGGCAAATCCTTGCTTCAATGCCGGGCCTCAAAGTACCCCAGAGAACGCACATAAGAGCGAAGTGGACACTTTTTTGGCGAGGCTTGGTTCTGCAGTCACACCTGATTGATGCTAATATGACTAGCGTACCGAAGCAATTTTAGTTAGCATACCTAACTTAGGCACACTCTGGACTACGAAGGGAAAGAGGACGCAAGCAGAGCTCGAAGCACGCGCAGGGAAGCAAGTGAAGGTTGCATGTACACAC